CTTACCATTTCTCATGCATTAGGCTTCGAACACTCAGACACTTATTCGGACCCTCTTGCATGATGGCAGATATGTAATTATAGTGTTTACTTGCCATTTCTCATGCATTAGGCTTCGAGCACTCGGACACTTATTCGGACCTTCTTCCATGATGGCAAATATGTAATTACGGTGTTTACTTTCCATTTCTCATGTATTAGGATTCGAACACTCGGACACTTATTCGGACCCTTTTGCATGATGGGAAATGGTAAGAATCAAGGATGTTGGATGCCTAGATGGTAACATCTCGGCCTAGATGATACACATCTCGGCCAATATGCCAAGCTGAAAGTGGAGGTCAACCGAAGTGGTTCCAGGATGGTCCTAGGTGTAAGTGGTTCAAAGGAGTGACCTGGGCTTAACACACACCAAGCAAGAAACAAAACATACAAGCAATACTCAAGCAAATCGCATAAACACAAAACAAGACAGAGACCTTTACTTTAGGCAAAGCAAGTCAGGATCTTCAAATGCAAGCTTAACAAAACAAAATCATGCAGATGCACATGAACATGGCTAAGATGAGGATGAGGGCCATTACAGTCTACCCCCCTTAAAGAAGTTTGGTTCCCAAACTTAAGTTACCTTTCCCCAAAAACAACTTCGGATAACGAATTTTCACTTCCTCTTCCATTTCCCATGTAGCCTCTTTGGTCTCCTAGGCCTAGGTACGCATGCAAGGTAGACTCAAGTGTAGGTGATCATGCAAGGTAGGCCAAGGTGAGATACGATGCTTGGCCTGGGTGTGAGATCTAGGCAAGAGTGGGTCTCGATGACCACACTTAGGCAAATGAAGTATGGAAATTTGGGTTTCCTCTTGAAGAACATGAAGAATATGAACATAAAGAACATGAATGCTAAAATCGTAACTTCTTTATTCAAAATCTGAGATTTCATGATATGAGTTCAAAAGCATGGACCTGGGTGCCCGTACTTGGAGATTCCATGAAAACAAACACAAAACATGGATCTTGATACAAACTTTCGGATCAAAAACATGGTTTTTCTTCAAGAACACATGAACAACATTTTCTCTTTCTAAAACCAAACTTTAAATCAATGCATGGATCATGTATCATGCTAGATCATGCAATGTGATCGAATCAATATAAAGAACAACAAGAGTAGATTAAGAATCTAACCTCAAAACACGGATCTAATGGTTCAAACTCCAAAGATCAAGCTTGGGATCTAGCTCTCTCACTCTAAACTTCTCTTCCTTTTCCTAGAGCTTCTCTCTCTACAATGCAAAAGGTATGACACAAAATGATATGGGTTCTCAGCTAGTACCTGACTTAACCCTCTGCATGGATCATGTATCATGCTAGATCATGCAATGTGATCGAATCAATATAAAGAACAACAAGAGTAGATTAAGAATCTAACCTCAAAACACGGATCTAACGGTTCAAACTCCAAAGATCAAGCTTGGGATCTAGCTCTCTCACTCTAAACTTCTCTTCCTTTTCCTAGAGGTTCTCTCTCTACAATGCAAAAGGTATGACACAAAATGATATGGGTTCTCAGCTAGTACCTGACTTAACCCTCTGCTGGGTCACGTGGCAACGCCGGATTGGATCTCTTAAAAAATGTGACAGAATGACAAGACAAGAGTATGACAAAGCGTGTATAACAAGCAAGGTGACAAGGGCACTCTAACAAGGCAATGACCTCGGATCAAGACATAGGCTTCAGGCAAGAAGGTTTCAATGATCTCGGCTAGAAAGGATAACACTTAGCCTAGCTGTGCCACACCTCGGCCTAGATGTGCCACACCTCGGTCTAGGTCATACCAGTCCAGGAACAAGATCACTAGGTGCAAGGATCAAGGATGTCGGATGCCAAGATGGTAACATCTCGGCCTAGATTATACACATCTCGCCCAATATGCTAGGGTGAAAGTGGAGGTCAACCGAAGTGGTTCCAAGATGGTCCTAGGTGTAAGAGGTTCAAAGGAGTGACCTAGGCTTAACACACACCAAGCAGGAAACAAAACATACAAGCAATACTCAAGAAAATCACATAAGCACAAAATAAGACAGAGACCTTTACTTTAGGCAAAACAAGTCAAAATCTACAAATGCAAGCTTAACAAAACAAAATCATGCAGATGCACATGAACATGGCTAAGACGAGGATGAGGGCCATTACATTACCATTTCTCATGCATTAGGATTCGAACACTCAGATACTTAATCAGACCCTCTTGCATGATGGTAGATATGTAATTATGGTGTTTACTTACCATATCCCACGCATTGGGTTCGAACACTCGGACACTAATTCGGAGCCTCTTGCATGATGGCACATTTGTAATTGTGGTGTTACGTACCATTTCTCATACATTAGGGTTCGAACACTCGAACATACTTACACTACAAGAAATTGCACTTTTGGTGACTACTTTTGGCGACGACGTCAATTTTTCATCGCTAAAAGTATATTTTTGGCGACATAGTGATCAATTTCGTTGGTAAAAGTATACCTTTACCGATGCAATTTGTTGTCGTCGCTAAAAAGGCATAACATTATTTTAGCGCCAAATTTTTTGGTTGGCGCCAAAATTTCAAAACTTTTATCTACGAGGCTTATGTTTTAGCAACACAATGAGTGTTGCTATTAGTGTGCTTACTTTTGGTGATGACAAGTTGGCGTGGGCAAAGAGTTAACCATTTAGCGACGATGACACTATTCGTCGGTAAAAGTTTTGCTAGTGGAATGATGTGATTTAGTGATTTGTGTTTTTTATTATAATTTTTGAAAGAGTATTAAATATTTTAGTTACTGAATTGTAAAATTAAAATGATCATTGAATTAGGTCACAAAATGAACCCATTGAGCCTAAACACACTCTTAAGTTGAGATGACTAATTTGAGATAATTTAAACTTTTTTCAAAGAATATGGTTAGATTATCAATTTCAATGTGTTTGTTTTTATTTTCATAAACTAGTTTCAAATTTGCTTTTCCTAAAAAACTAAAAACAAATTGGGTGAAAAACAAAATACTTATTATTTTTGTATATTTTTATCTTTTAGGTCATAGATACTTTTTAAAATTTTAAAAAATATAATTTTGATTTTTATTGCTTTCAAATTATTTTTAATTTTTTCAAAAAAAAAACAAACAAATCTTGTTTCGGATATATATATTTTTTTAAGTGTGATCTGCCTTTGGTGAGGCAGTGGCAATTTCCCTCCCAAAATTCCACCCCTCCCCTCCCCCCCCCCCCCCCCCTTTTTTTTTTTTTTTTTTTGTTAAAATCCACCTCCACCTGGTGAAAAAAAAAATACTTATTATTTTTGTATATTTTTATCTTTTAGGTCATAGATACTTTTTAAAATTTTAAAAAATATAATTTTCATTTTTATTGCTTTCAAATTATTTTTAATTTTTTCAAAAAAAAACAAACAAATCTAAAAATTGTTTTGAATTTTTTTTTATTATCTTTTAGGTCATAAATACTTTTTAAAATTTTAAAAATATAATTTTGATTTTTATTGCTCTCAAATTATTTTTAATTTTTTTTAAAAAACAAATCTAAAAATTGTTTTGAATTTTTTTTGGGGGGGGTGATCTGCTGATCGGGCGGTGGACATTTCCCTCTAAAAATTCCCTCCTTTTTTTTCCCTCATCAAATCTCTCCAAATCAATCTCCACAATTTCACTCACTACAACAAAACTGACTTTTTACGGCGCCACATCAACGGCATACAATAAATGCATGTCGTAGTGTCTCACTTTTACGACTTTCTTTTTTTGCACGTTGTAAATACTTTTCTAACCACGGCATGTCTATTGCGTAGGCCGTAAATGGTAATAACAATGATTTTTTTACGGATCACAATGCATGCCGTAAATAATAAAACTTTCTACGATGTGCATTTGGCATGCCGTTAATACGCCAATTTCCACGCCGCACATCCCCCAGCCGTGAAAAGTAAATACTTTACACGGCACACATAACGCCCGCCATTAAAAGCATTACACTTTTTACGACACACACATTGCTTGCTGTTAAAAGTATTATATTTTTACGACCCACAATCCATGCCATGTATTGTATGATAAAAAAAAAGTGGCGCCAAAATGAAATTTGGGGCGCCAATCTCTGATGATGATGATGTCGAATCGATTTTTTTGTTCCCTAAAATCGAAGGTATCTATCGTCGTCTCATGCTTCTCTTCTCTTATTGGTCGCGTATCTGAAATCCCTAATTCATTCTCACTCCCAGCCCAGTCCTGCCCTAGTATCTTACACTTCTCTCTCTCTTTCAGCGGCTGCAACACCATGTGCAGTACCCTACATGGCAACGTGGTGGCGCCGCCCTATTTCAACCACAGCAATGGCGTCTCTCACCCCTGGCATCCTCTCCAAACTTCTCCAAAATCTCAGCAACGCTGTCGCCGGAGGGTATCGACAAGAAAGTGGGTGTGAAAGGAGAGATTGAGGGTTCGGGAAAAGATGGGTTAGAGAGAGAGAGAGTCTGCCTTCTCTCTAGAAATTGCTTAAATTTTAATGGTTTTCTCATTCAACATTTCGTTGATAATGGTTGATCTCACATCTAATTTACGCAATTTGGCTACGATGGTTGATGGGTTAGTGACTGAAGGTTCTCGTTCGCCTAAGGGGAGTTCGCACATCGTGAAAGATTTACTGTCTGAGAGGGATTGTTAACATTGATGGACATCGTGAAGCAAAATGAGGGTAAAAATCAGTCTTCTGCCTCTGAGATCGTTTTGGGTATGAGCCCTAGGGCTTCGATTGGGGTTCAGTCCAAGGTCCGTACTCCTAGTTCCTTTGTCGAAGCGATGGGTGGTCTCTGTTCTGAGATCTGAGACCTTGCATAACAACAAAAGCTTTGTTTTGTGGGAGAAGTGGTGTCGAGCCCTGCCGTTGTTCATTCGCAGGTATGGCTAAGGATTTATGGGTCAATTGCTTGGGCTATTTGAAATGCCTGATCATTAGATTTTTCTTAACTAATTCATGCATTGAATCAATTTTACAGCACTGCTACATATGTTGAGATTGAGTTGCCTGTTCCAGCCGATGCTACCAACCCAAATGTTCAGACATCATTGGGATCTGCTTCACATGCACCAGAAAAGGATGCGTTGATCTGGAAAATTAAATCTTTTCCTGGTGGTAAGGTGAGAACCAATATTTATGATTGATGTTTTAGAAGAGAATGGGGTAGGTTACACTTTCACCCTCCTTAATTTTCCCTCTTTCTATACCATGAAAAATAATTACCCTTTTTTTTCCCCCCCTAATATTATTACATCAAACATGTACCTATGAGTTTTACAGGATGACATCGTTCAGAGCTGCTATTGGGATTCTGGGCGTCCATTTGATTTGAGACGAGAATCTGAGGCAGTACCGCCGGATGTGACACTTCAGTCTATTTTATTTGAGAGCCCTGATAAGAATAGATGGGCTCGATGTCTTAGTGAATTAGTCAAATATGGTGCTGAGTTTTCCCCGGGCTCTGTTCAGAAAGCAAAGTAAGCTATTTCAAATTTGTTTATATGTTACACATTCTGATGTTTTGCCAAATATTGATGTTCTTTATATATCAATTTTATTTTATTTATTTATTTTCCATAATATGAATAGGAAGTTGTTTATACAACTTATTGCAGTAAATTCTTAAAGAAATTAATATTGCAAGGTTTTTGTAAAACTTACAGTGTTTTTGCGGTGTTGTGAACTGGATGGCTCCCTCTTTCTCAATTTTGTAGCTTTCTGCTACATAAAATCACAAATGTTATAAACATGTTAGCTTGTTACTTTGTTGATTTTAGGCAATGCGGGGGAACTTTGGTAAACAGTGTTACTAACGACATGAATTGTCTCCTGGTTGTTGCTCAAGGTTTTAAATATTAGCCATTACGTATCGTATCGGCCATTACATAATGGTATTTTGGACTTTTGATACCGTTATTCACTAATGTATTGGTCTATATTGTCCAATAATGTTTGGCATCAACCAATATATGATCGCATTGCTGATACCGATACATCTCTCGATGCCATTCTTTAAAACCATGAGTCTTGCTCTTCTTGTTTTTTACCCAAAAAGATTATGTGATTTTCAAATTGAAAAATCCCAAACTCTCATTATGAGTTGATCTTTATTTGCAGGTTAGAGGTCATTCAACGTCTTGCTCATATCACACCTATGGAGTTGGGTGGGAAGGCTCATCAGTCACAGGATGCTGACAGCAAACTAGATCAGTGGCTTATGTATGCAATGTTTGCATGCTCATGTCCACCAGATAGTAAGGAAGCTGGTGGCTTAGCAACAACCAAAGATCTCTTCCATCTGATTTTTCACTCACTAAAATCTGGATCTGAAGCCCACATTGTAAGTACAGACTAACTAGAAACTGGTAATTCTGAGCACAGGATTTAAGTTGTATATTGTTATCAATCACACTGTTCTTGAAGAAGCAAAAGTAAATTGGAAGGGAGAAGTAATTTCAAACCTTGAAGGAGGGCAGGACTGGATTATTATAAAATCTTATTTATCCTTTTTTTTTTCTCCCTCCAATCACAAAGCTATCTTCTTCAATGTTGACAACTTGGTATAAAATTGGTGAAAAAAGCCACGACGCAAGAAGAAACACTTGAAAGAAACAGATGATAAAAAGCTTAATTGTAGAAATTGTGTGATGGAAATTAGATGCATGCTTGTGTTATATTGGAACTGATAAACGTTATATCAAACATTTCTTAGAATTCAAAATTATATTAAATAAATTAGTCAACCAAATTGTCCTTACATCACATAAACACTTCCAAATTTCAATAGGAATTTCATATGGTCCTACAGTTTTTCCAACTTCCATTTTCTTAATAACCTCATTTATCTCCACTATCTTGCTAAAGAATTGATTATTAATACTACTAATGGAATTATCAGTTTGTTTGGTTTGGATTTTTAGGATTCACTTTTCAAAAAATTGAACTTTTTTTGGTTTCATGCTTTTTTATTTTCACTGAATTTTTTTAATATTCTAAGCAATTTTTTTTTTAAATTTTTGGATACATCTAACATAAATACACTTAAAAAGTATAATATTTATGAAAAAATCTTTAGAAAACTCATTAAATATAAAAAATACAAACAAATATAAGAATTCAGTCCATTTTTTGTATTCTTGTGTATTTATTGATTTTTTTAAAATATTTTTTTACAAATAGTTTATTTTTTAGATACATCTAAGTAAGGTACATCTAAAAAAGTAAAAAAAAAAATTGCTTAATATTTTAAAAATATTCACTAAAAACAAAAATAAAAATCAAAAACAAAAAATCCAATTTTTAGAAAGTTGAATTCAGAAAATTGAAACCAAACACACTAGTTTCTTCTAAACTCAAGGTTCTCGAGTGGTTTTCATTAAATAGCTTATCAAATAACTCCGCCATTCCTTAATCTCATTTTTCTTTACTAGAACTGTCTTATCTCACTCTTAATACACTTAATGTAGTTTAGGTCTCCACATTTCCTATTTCTTTTTCTTTTTCTGGCAAGTTTATATTAGAAATTTTCTCCATTACTGAACTCTCTTATCCTCTCTAGCTGCCTTCTTAACTTCAGTTTTGGCTATTTTATTATCTTTCAAAATTTTCATTATTTCTACATTTACAGAAAGCTTTATGACAATCGCGTGTATTCTTCATTAATGTCCTTGAATGCTTCTACATTTTCTAAATTCATTTTGGAGTTGGCTAATTGTGCTTTTGTTTTACCAGCATGCAGCTACCATGGCTCTTGGCCACTCACATCTTGAGGTATGCGAAGTCATGCTTAGTGAGCTTGCAACTTTCGTTGATGAGGTTTCTCTGGAAACTGATGCAAAACCCAAGTGGAAGGTATAGTAGATGACTAATTGTGATATTTTTTTCTCTTTTTTTTCTTTTTTTCTGTTTCTATGCTGTGTCTTCCCTTTTAAATTTTTTTGTTCGTTTGTTTTTACAATCTATTTATGACCCTTGCTAGACACAGCTTATCGAAAATGAAAAGCTGTGTGTAGTTACTGGTTACTATAATTACACGCCATGCAATTGCTTTTGTTTAATATGAGTTTGTAGGGAAGCGTTGCAGGGAAAATTCCTTTGATTGTACGATATTTTCTGTTCTTGCTTTGATGTTTAGGTAGTTCAATTTTGCATTCTGATCAATTGAACTTGCACAATATGTCACTTTTATGGATGTAGAGTCAAAAGGCTCGTCGTGAAGAACTCCGTATCCACATTACAAATATATACCGCACAGTTGCTAAGAATATCTGGCCAGGAACGCTAGGCCGCAAACCAGTTTTCCGCTTTCATTATTTAAAGTTCATTGAAGAAACAACCAGACAATTCTCAACTGTATCTCCTGAGAGCTTTCAAGAAATACAACCTCTTCATTATGCACTTGCTTCTGTTCTAAGATCATTAGCTCCAGAATTTATTGAGTCAAAATCAGAGAAATTTGACCTTAGAACAAGAAAACGACTGTTTGATCTTCTTCTCTTCTAGTGTGATGACACAGGTAGTTCATGGAGTCAAGATGGTGTTACTGATTACAAACGTGAAGTTGAACGTTATAAGTCTAGCCAGTATGCTCGGTCAAAGGATTCTGTTGATAAACTTACATTTGATAAAGAGATGAACGAACAAATTGAGGCCATCTAGTGGGCCTCCATGAATGCTATGGCTTCTCTATTATTTTTTTGATCAGCAAAGAAAAGGAAATTTATTGAAGAAACAGAAAACTATTACAACAATAAAAGATAGAGGAGGATGAGTGCAACAAGCATCATAGCGAATCTAATCAATCCCAACTAGGTTGGCACCAAAAAGATCGCCTAATCATATGCTAGCACACCATCGCCAGTTGGAGAGAAACCAACCACAAGAAACTACCCAAACCTGAAACCACCCAACACCCCACACTACCAACCAACAATAACTAATGAAGTGGACAGACCAAAACCCAGAGTAAGTGCTCCTATATCAGTAGCCCAGATGCACAAAACAGACCAAAACATACCAAAATTACTCCTCTTATCAGTAGCCCACTGCAGCATCAGTTCAGCATACTAAATTGGATCAACACAGTAAGACAGACACCACAGCATTTCAGCATTCCATACTACATCAGATCAGGTCCATTGTGTCAAACAAGCATCCACTCAACCCAAAATCAACCGCATAATAGTAGCAAGGCACATTCCATCCATTGGGCTAGCCACACCTAGACCTTGAAGGCAGATTACAACAGCAGCATGAGTTGAGACAGTCTGCAAATGCAGATTAATCCTTACACTTAAATCAACCTCTAGCTTAGCATCTTCCTAACATTCTGCAAATTCGACACCATCTCTTGCCCTGAGAAGAGACAGTCACTTGAAGCAGCCTTAAACCATAAGATAGCTCTTGACTGCAACTGGAGACAGATAAGAAGCAGACTACAACAGGAGACAGATAAGCACCAATCTACACTATTGGTAAAACACCAGAAGAGGGAACCATCCTGCTCAGAAAGAGAATCACCATCTGGGCTTGAAGTTCCATTCCACACTACACAGATTCAGAGCAAAATGCAGCACTCAGATTGAGACCAATTCACTGTTCTGATAGGCTTCTCTATTATATGGTCCTTGCTTTGATGACAACACAAGAAAAATGAGCGGCCGAGTTATATCGTGGACTAATAGTTTGTTTATTGAGCCCGCACCTAGGGCTCTATTTGGTTATTCACCGACGGATCCAAGAACGCCATCATACTCTAAATTCACAGGAGACGGTGGTCGTGGAGCTACTGGACGTGATAGGCACTGGGGCAACCACGTTTGTGTCTCCCTTGCGAAAATGGCCTTCAAGAATCTCCTTCTTACAAATTTGGACCTATTTCCTGCTTGCATTGATCAGGTTTGTCTTTGTCCTTCCATTTAGTATCATATTCCTATCAGGATATATAGGCATCTACTTGATGTGCCTATTGTTGTGATTCTTTGATGTGCCATATCCCACGATTAGAAAAATGCTTGGGAGCACTAATTAGTGCTCCCACTAATTAGGTGGCAGTGGGTTCCGCCAGTAGTGATGTGATGTTTTGGTCTTGAAGTTGTATTTTTTATTTTTTTTTTACTTTTTTAATGCATTAGTGCTATTAGTGGTGGTGTTTTTAGTGGGATGAATCATTGTTGCCCACGATTATGTGTGCAACTTGGGTGGGCATAATTTGAGCAACTTGAGTCCAGCCCGAAAAAATTTAGGACCTGGGGTTTTCACAACCCAAGTAACCCGAATTCTATTATTTATATATATATATATATAAGGCCTGGGCTGGGGTTTTCACAACCCAAGTAACACGAATTCTATTATTAATATATATATTATATAATAAACATGAAATATTATAAATTATGGATTATTTTCTGACCATTTAAAGTAAATCATATTACAATGTAGCACATTTTATTGTTTGGTACACATAACTCAAACTAATGTTTTAATTGAGGTTTGTTTTTGTATTTTTTTATAGATAAATTTTCATTTTTCCTTTCAGTAAGTGCAATACATTAGTTTAGGAAACTAAAAATAGTTTGTGTTTGAATTTGGGCAACTTGAGCCTAGCCCACATTCTTTGAGTTAAACTCAGACTCAGACTTGGGCAAACCCCTTTACACTTTGGGTTGAGCTTGGACAGAAGCTTGACCGAACCTGCCTGAGTTGCAGCCCTACCAAAAATGGAACTGGCTTGATCAGATGGGTGGTGATGGTTCAGGAATCTGTAGTATTTTTCAAAAGTCAGTTGTTTGAATCAGAAAAGCATTATTCCTCACCCATTGGTGTTTCACCTTTGGGCATGTTTCACATTCTGATTATCCTCTATATCACATACTTAGTTTTTTTCCACACGTGTAATTGAACACTGCCAACCCAAGTAGCATATTGAAATGGGCTGCCTATATTCTGATTGTCATCTCCTTTTGTTTAATTTCCAATTTCGGTATAGATTATCGTGTTTATATCTTTTTGCTGGACTAATTGAATTAAATACCACTTCTTTTCTTTTTTTTTCTTTTTCCTTTCACAGTGCTACTACTCTGATGCTGCTATAGCCGATGGCAACTTCAGTGTACTTGCTGAAGTCTACATGCGCCAAGAGATATCAAGATGTGAAATTCAGAAATTGTTGTGCCTGATCCTCTACAAGGTTGTGGACCCTTCTAGACAAATACGTGATGATGCTCATCAGATGCTTGAGACACTTTCTGTTTGTGAATGGGCCGAGGACGACAATGATGGCTCAGGAAGTTATCGAGCTGCTGTTGTCGGCAACCTCCCCAACTCCTACCAACAATTCCAATACAAACTCTCTTGCAAGCTTGCCAAAGATCATCCCGAGCTGAGCCAACTCCTTTGTGAGGAGATCATGCAGAGACAACTTGACATCGTTGACATAATTGCACAGCAACTTTAGGTGATTTTATATCAATATTATTAGTTTGTAATAGTGGTGGCTGAGGGATGCCTCTTGTAAATCTGTAAATCTTATAAAAATATATAAATTATTTTCAATTATTTTTGTTAGTAAATGTGTCGCAAAAAGTTTATTTTTGCCCACTCATATTGTGTTGCTAGAAGTGTATTTTTTGCTAATGTCAATTTGTTGTTGCCAAAAGTAAACCTTATCGACAAACAAATTGTCAGCAAATGGTAATATTTACCGATGTAAATGTGTCGCCAAAAGTTTACTTTTGTCCACTCTTATTGTGTTGCTAAAAGTATATTTTTTGCCAATGCTAATTTGTCGTAGCCAAAAGTGAAGTTTTATCGACAAACAAATCGTAGGCAAATGACAACAATTAAGAACGTAAATGTGTCGCTAAAAGTTTACTTTTGCCGACGCATATTTTGTTGCTAAAAGTATATTTTTTGCCCATGCAAATTTGTGTCACGAAAAGTGCCACACAATCATCATATTTGAATGACTTTTACCGACGCAAGGTAAATTGCCAACGATGGATGAAGGCTTTTATCGACGACTATGTTCGTCGTTAAAGGCATTACTTTTACCAACGCAATGATAATTTCGTTGGTAAAAACTTTTGCCGACTCACTTTTGCCTACGGGTTGCCAACGTAGCTTTGTGTGTTGGCAAAACTCTTTGCCGACGAATTTTTCCTTTTAGAAACATATTTTGTTGCGTTGCGAAAAATGCAATTTCTTGTAGTGTTATTCGGACCCTCTTGCATGATGGAAGATATGTAATTATGGTCTTTACTTACCATTTCTCATGCATTAGGGTTCAAACACTCGAACACTTGTTCGGACCCTCTTGCATGATGGCAGATATGTCATTATGGTGTTTACTTACCATTTTTCATGCATTAGGGTTCGAACACTCAGACATCCTTATTCGGACCCTCTTCCATGAAGGAAGATATGTAATTATGGTGTTTACTTATCATTTCTCGTGCATTAGGGTTTGAACACTCGGAGACATATTCGGACCCTCTCGCATGATGGCAAATAGGTATTTATGGTGTTACTTACCATCTCTCATGCATTACGGTTCGAACACTCGGACACTAATTTAGACACTTTTACATCATGGCAGATATGTAATTATTGTGTTACTTACCATTTCTCTTGCTTTAGGCTTCAAACACTCGGACACTTATTCGGACCGTCTTGCACGATGGCAAATACGTAATAACAGTGTTTTCTTACCATTTCCCACGCATTAGGGTTCGAACACTCGGACACTTATTCGAAGCTTATTACATGATGGCACATATGTAATTATGGTGTTACTTACCATTTCTTATGCATTAGGTTTCAAACACTCAGACACTTATTCAAACCCTCTTGCATGGTGGCAAATATGTAACTATGGTGTTTACATATCATTTCTCATGCAATAGGGTTCGAACACTCAGACATACTCATTCAGACCCTCTTGCATGATGGCAGATACGTTATTATGGTGTTTTCTTGCCATTTCTCCTGCATTAGGGTTCGAACACTTGGACACTTATTCAGACTCTCTTGCATAATGGCAGATATGTAATTTTGGTGTTTACTTACCATTTCTCATGCATTAGGCTTCGAACACTCGGACACATATTCGAACCCTCTTGCATGATGGCGGATATGTAATTATGGTGCTTACTTACCATTACTCATGCATTAGGATTTGAACACTCGGACACGTATTCGGACCCTTTTGTATGATGACAGATATATAATTATGGTGTTTACTTACCATTTATCATGCATTAGGGTTCGAACACTCGGACATACTTATTCGGACCCTCTTGCGTGATAGTAGAGATGTAATTATGATGTTTATTTACCATTTCTCACGCATTAGGCTTCGAAGACTTGGACACTTATTTGGACCCTCTTGCATGATGGTAGATATGTAATTATGGTGTTTAGTTACCATATCTCATGCATTAGGCTTCGAACACCCGGACACTTATTCGGACCATCTTGCATGATGGTAGATATGTAATTATGGT